TCACCTCAGCCTCCCAAAGGCGCGGGATTACAGGCTGAGCCACCGAGCCCGGCTAAATCATAATACTTTTAAAACTCATAGGACTCCATGCAAACATTTTTCCTTCTGCTAAAGTCTTTTAGTATAAAACAGGAGTCAGCAAAGTATGGCCATGACTTTACAGCCCTCGAGCTAAGAATGACATTCACATTTTTAAAGGTTTACAAAATATATATGTTGGCCTGGTTCGGTGGCTCAGCCTGTAATCCCAGCACTTTGGGAGGCCGAGGTGAGTGAATTTCCTGAGCCCGCGGGTTCGCAACCCGCCTGGGCAACTTGGCGAGACCTCATCTCTACAATAAACCAAAAAACTGGCCGGGTGTGGCAGTGCGCGTCTGTAGTTCCAGCTACTCGGAAGACGGAGGCGGAAGGATCGCCGGAGCCCGGCAGGTCGAGGCTGCGGTGGCCGGGAGCGGCCACTGCCCTCCAGTCTGGGTGACAGAGTGAGACTCCGACACACACACACACACACACACACACACACACACACACACACCAAATATATATATATATATATATATATGTGACGGACTACCAGCGGCCCACAAAACTAAAACCCTTAGCTAGACCTTCTACAGAAAGGTATTTTTGGGGAATCACAAGCTCACCGAGTCCGTTCTGGTTCATGCCAGTCTCTGCGGGATTCCTGGGTTGTCCCCCGTGCCCTGACACCCACCCTTGTGGTTTGAAACTCTCCCCTCTCGGATCTCACATCCCAGCCCACTCCAAGGCCCTAAAAATCCTTCCCTGTGTCCACGTGGGCAAAATCCTGTGCTCTCAACCTCTTTTCTGAACATTCCCTGCACTTTTTTTTTTTGAGTTGGAATCTCACTCTGTGGCCCAAGCTGGAGTGCAATGGCACGTTCCCGCCACCACAGCCTTGACCTGCTGGGCTCAGGTGATCCTTCCAGTTCAGACTTCTAAGTAGCCGGACTACAGGCACACGCCACCACGCCCAGCTAATTTTTTGACTTCTTGTAGAGAGGAGGTCTCGCCAAGTTGCCCCGGCTGGTCTTGAACCCGTGAGCTCAGGCAATCCTCTCACCTAGGCCTCCCAAACTGCTGGGATTATAGGCGTGAGCCACTGCACCCGGACTTTTTAATTTTTTTAGCCATGATTCATAATAAGAAGTAACTTTTACAGTACACACACATTTATATACATAGACACAACTGAAACAAGTTTCATACAAAATAACTCTTACTAAAACTATATTGAATACGATTTTAGTAACACCCAGATCAAGACTCAGAAGTAGAGTTCTGCCGGGCTCCGTGGCTCAGCCTGCAATCCCGCGCCTTGGGAGGCTGAGGTGTGAGTGGATGGCCTGAGCCCGCGGGTTCAAGACCCGCCCGGGGCAACTTGGCGAGACCTCATCTCTACAATAAATCAAAAAATCAGCCGGGCGTGGTAGCGCGCGCCTATAGCTCCGGTTCCTTGGAAGGCTGAGGCGGAAGGATCGCCGGAGCCCAGCAGGTCGAGGCTGCGGTGGCCCGGAGCGTGCCACTGCCCTCCAGTCTGGGTGACAGAGTGGGACTCCAACTCAAAAAAAGAAAGAAAAAGAAAGAAAGAATGTCTGCGCCAAAAAGCATCCTCCTCTGCAAAGCTTCTTTACCAGGCATTGAATATTCATTTATTCAACAAATATGCACTGGGCAGCTACTAAGAGCTAGACACATAAGGAGCTTCAATCAGGCTAGCCTGCCCAGCCAAAACCTCGGGAAGGAGCAGCACTTGTCATATTAACCTTGCCCACAGCTAAAGGGAGGAGGTGCTGGACGACATTCCTGAGACTAAACTGAAACAATAATCAGACAACGATGGCGGATGGAACGGGGAGGCTTGGGCAACGGTGTCAGGCGTGTGAGTGACGAGGCCACAGAAGATGCTGGAAGAAAGAGAGGGAGAAGTAGCGAGCGGGATGTAGACAGACAAGGGAAAGAGGGAATGGCATCACTCCTAAAAACCAGAACGAAGCCTTGCTTCCTGACTGGCCAGTCCAGATCGCGTGTCACTCAGCCTCAGCGAGTCTTTCTTCCCAAAGCTCGGATTATGGAAGACTGCGGCATGATGTGACTGTCTTTACAATACTACCCTTTATGCAGGTAAGCCTGAGTCGCTTTCTTTTTTCCGTTGTTTTTTCTTTTTTAGAGGGTCTGGCTCTGTCACCCAGGCTGGAATGCAGCAGCACAATCACGGCCCGCCATAGCCTTGAGCTCTGGGGATGGAGTGATCCTCCCTCCTCAGCCTCCTGAGTAGCTAGGAGTACAGGTGTGCGCCAGCGTAGCCGACATATTTTTAAAGATTTTTGGAAAGATGGGGTCCTGCTATGTTGCCGAGGCTGGTCTTAAACTCCCGGCCTCCAGCCATCCTCCTGCCTCGGCTTCCCAAAGGGCTGGGATGATAGGCATGCGCCACCACATTGGCTAAACTAGCCTGAGTAGTTTTCTGTCTCCATCTTTAAACACAGTCAGCCTCATCCCACACGTCCCAAAGAAAAATATTCATATAGTGAACGTTTTGACATTCTTTTCAATTTCTTTTAAAAGCATTAATAAAAAGCTTCACATACTTACTAGGAAAGTTAAATGTATAAAGGTGCTCGATCGTATTTTGACACATTGGCTTTTATATCCTATTGAGTTTCTTTTAATCACTCACATTTCTACTGCTCAGTT